CAACAGGCAGTTGCTGTCCATTTGAAACTTAGATTCATTAAAGTTTTTCTTTATGAAATTTAATGAAAATAAAGAATTTTGCTCAGTAATACTAATAAAACAAAATCAAGATTAAATATTACTAACTCTTTTATTTTGATAATATTTATCCAAATCTTCAAGAGGTGTTGCTGCTAGCTCCATCGGGAATTCCCTTTCAAGAGGTTTAGGAAGAGGCATTCCAGCTTCAAGATTTTTTTCAGGTTTAGTTTCAATTTCTTCGCTTTCTTGTGATTCCTTCTCTCCACCGCCCCCAGCTGCAGCATCTTCTGCTTCCTTCTGTGCCTGCTCTTTCTTCCGCGCTACCTCTTCAGCAATCCGCGCCTCAATGCCTGCCAGGGATTCTTTTGTGAACGGACGGAATAAGGGCAACTCCTCCAGGTCTGACTGGTCTTCGAATGACCCCGTAGACTTAGGCATATTTACATCTGGTCATAGGAGGTATTTCTCTGTGTGAGGCGCAGGTCTCTCAGATAGGATGAAAAATTCTTGAAGGTCTGGGAAAAATATATAAATAAACATTTTCAAGAAATGTTCTGTTAGAAAAGTAAAATATTAAATTATTTTCATGACTATTATGGGGCCAGGATTGGTCTAGTTGTTAGAATGTTAGGTTCGAGACGTGGCGTTACTCATTACACTCTACACTTTCATCTGTGGGCATGTTATAAAAGTCACAGTCAATCACGTTATTCATTTCAAGTAGCGGGACACAGCCATTATGGCAGAGGGTACTATAATTCAAAATTAGCTATGGCTATACTCAAACCCTAGAGGTCTCTAACTAAACAATTAACTCACTTGTATGTAAGACACTGTTCAGGTCAAACATTCAAAATTGAAATTCATTTATCATTATCTTATGAAATTTACAATCATAATCGATATTCTTATTTAAATCTTTGATAATAATTAAAAACACTAATATTTTTCAAAATTTAACAAAATCATGTCGTTTTATTAAGTCTCTGCTTCACTCTAGCTGTTCATAAGAAAACAATAATAAAATTTACACAATCACTTGTACATAGTCACAGACTTGGCTGGTT